TTAGATGGTAAGCGTCTCAGAGTAGGACCCTGTCTTCTCATTGTCTGTCCATAAAGCATACAAATGGCACTATATTAATCAACTGATCAAATCATAAATATTTCTTGCCACCCAAATACTGACTCAGGAACAACAAAACTCAAGACAACCGATCATGCTGTGCCATTTATTAAAATATTGTTCTCTGTGCAGCAAAAATATATAAGCAATTCTGTTTTTGCCAAGCAAAGATGTTATTACGGGTCAATCATTCCTGTAAGTGAAAGTACATTTGGATGTACACTCTAGTGACAGATGACTAGAAGACCTCTCTTTCATGATCTTGGCCAGGATAAGAGAGGCAATTTACCATCCACAGAATGGTGTAATAGAACAGAATAATTCTCATAAAAATAACTCAGTGTTTGAATTTGAACTATTGGATGAATCTGAACTACAGTGAAATCAATTTGATAACCCATCAGAATGAAATTGTGTTTGGCTCCTGCTTACAAAGGCACTGCATTAACTTTTTATGACAAGAAGCGATGGTGTGGTTTGCAATTTTTTTTTTTGCCAACGAACTGTTTATTGCTTGGCGGCTAAAAAAGAAGCTCCAGTTACAGCCTTATCCAAATATAAATAATATAGCCTCTTGTACCCCCCCTCCAAGGTAATAAACACTATTGCGAGCAGAGAGGAAAAGTTTGGAATGTAGTGATTTATGTTAGGTTAGGGATGCCACAAAACTCAAGGATTGTTTCTCATAGACATGCAAGGATCTGGCTGAAAACAACACCTGCTAGAACTTGCTTCAACATGCATGCATATTAAGCTATAAGAGCCAGGCAAAATGACTGGAAGCATCACAGAGTGCAAAACTTGATGGACTGTACCACTCCTGAGCTAAAGATGTAAACTTTCTCGAATATTAAAACATGGGGGAGGGGAAGCGTGTGTACTTTTTTTAAAATGAAATTTGGGTGGAAATTGAAATACATGCAGTACTTACTTTTTAAAGGTTTTTAATAGTTTAATAATATCAAATGTATCACTTAGAATCTATTTAGTGTATAACATGATACTGTCATAAATTTATCTAATTCTCAAGATGGACCCAGCTGTGGGTAAGTAAATCTGGAGATTGAGGCCATGAACAGACCACTCAGATCTTTCTACAAAACCGAGGAAAGTCCCAGGTTCAAAGAAAAATCTGAAATCTAAAAAAACAGGGATTAAAACCCTTCAACATAACAGAAGCAGTGCCTGAAGCTTTGAGAAACAAATGCTGTCTATGGCCATTACTATGTAAGGTATGGATAACAGTCACAGCAAACTAAATAAATCAGACCCGAAGGAAACTGCAATAGTGCGCTAAATATCCATATGATACAATATATTATTCAATGTTCACAGAATCTCAACAAGTATACAAAAACAAGTTTAAAGTATCATCATGGTAGAATTCATAGTTAACAATGTTCTCCAGAATGACGTTATCATTTCATTTGGACTTCCTCTGAACATACAACAACGTCTCTTTATTGGTATAACATCAATTGATATCTGGATATTTATTTATTTATTATTATTTATTATTTTCAATTTGTATCCTGCCTTGCTGGCAAATTGGCTCAAGGCGGTGTACAGCATTAAATACAATAAAACAGTAAATACAGTAAAATACAATAAAACCTACAAACAGCATAAAATACTAATAAGAACTGTGTGAATGATGGCGGCATTCAATATAAGTGGAATAGTGTCCACCGGTGTATCATACGGGCCATAGTATGTTCTGGTGGCTCATTTGTCAGTGGCAGCTCCAAAAAGAAAGCCTGGTGGAAGAGCTCCATTTTACAGGCCCTGTGGAACTGTAAAAGGTCCCAAAGAGCCCTGATGTCATCCGGGAGCTCGTTCCACCA